TTGCTATATTTGTATTGTCTTTGAAACCGATAGCAGTTACGACCCTTATGAGCTGTAGTAGGTCTGAGCATGTCTGTTGTGGCCGAGTTAATTGTAGCTAAATCCCGGAAGAAAACATCGCTATTTGTAAGATTTCTCGAACAGGTAATACAGTCAGCCGCAGACGCTGAAGACCTGCAATTTAATCACACAATCAGTTTGTCAGCCAATTCCAATCTGTCAACCAACCAGTCAAGGAATTGCCTAACCAAGAAAACAGGCCAGCTCTCAAACCACCTTACCAAATGACTAGTCAACTAATTCAGCCTCCAGCAAGCCAAAGAAATAGTTTTTTTTTTTTAATGACTTTCGGAGAAACAGTAGCAGGAACAACACTAAAAACGGCCACAGTTCCAATAACGTCGACGAATATAATAAAAACGGGTTTAAAGCAACAACAACAACAACAACCAGAACAACAACAATAGCAGCAGCAGCGGCGGCAACAACAACAACAAAATAGCGAACAAAACAAGAAACGTCGATACAGTTACACCAAATCCGACTTACTAAACGTATAATCAAATCCACTGAACTTCACAACTTTGTATAAATTACCAGCACCTCTCCTGTCCGCACAAATATCTTAGTTATTTGTTAGACTACGATGAGGATGACACCGGTTGGAATCACTGTTAAAAGGATTTTTTAAATTTCGGTTGGTTTGGGAGTTCTCAAGGCTCTCCACCCACTTTGCTTTGACATGCCAGAGACGACATTGAAAAGAAGCAAGTGATGCACTTTATATAGCCTTTAGAATTCGTTAAATCACAAGTGATAACTTTTAGATAACCTTTTTTGATTCGTTAATTCCCAAGTGATGCCTTTTAGATAACTTCTAGAGTTTTGTTGAACGGACACACGAAAGAACTATTTCATGTGCGCTATTGTATCCTGCATGTGTAAACAAATTAAGACAGTTCTTTGTCTGGCTCGCGTTGAAACGCTCCAGTTTTTTGTTAGCTACTGATTTTGCTGCTGTTGTTGTCATTGTTGCTCTTGATGCCCAAATGTTGTCAAGCGGGTGGTTGAAGGGCACCGCTGGGGG